CTTGGTTAATGGAGCAGCATCGAACAACCGACCAGCACCCCAGGACTGTGGAAAGCAAATCACATAAAATTCACAAACTTCGGTAATATTTCTCCATTACTGCCCTGTCAATCAGTTTTTTTTTTCGTCGAAACTTAGGTCACAAGGGTAATTCGACGCCCTGATACGAATACGATATCCATTTTTGACACTGGCGTTTTTTTACAGTTGTTTGAACCTATACCGTGAAAAAAATGCAGTCCAAGTTTCTTGCAAGTTGCCCACTCTGACCCTAGTTTGTTGCGGTTTGGTTTTGGCGCTTTGGTCTGCAGTTTGAGGATGGAGATATGGAAGGATTGTTTCTGACTGGTCAGTTTTATCAGTGAGTCAAACTTGTGTGAGTGGTCAAGTTAATATTAATTGGTACAACCGGTACAACCAAGCAAATAGAGACTGTTTAAGTTCGCTTCGAACGTTTAGGGACTGTTGAAGTTCTTTTCTATGTGACGCTCATATTGTATGATGAGAAAATGACTGCGAACTGTTCGAACCTTACTTCTAATGAACCCAAACTATGAAGGAATGTAGTACGCTCAAGCGCGACATCATCAATGAATGATTCCGCAGATCGGCGTCGACGACGATTCTCGGAAATAAGCATACTTGTTCTGCATGGTTACCTTTGTCCTATATAGGATATCGGTCGCTCGAGGGGTAGTTACGGAGCATTCGACGATCAACTTGTCCAAATGATGGAGTCCCAAGAAAAAAATTACTATCACTGGATGTGGTGCACTATGACAGAAACCATTTTTTCGCGTTCCGTAGCACGAAAAATTTTTCGCTGTGAGCCTCGGGTCCACTGATGATCAGCGGTGGACCTGAGGTTCCCGCAGCGAAAATGTTTCGCGTTGCGAACGCGTTGAAGTCGCTTTCTGTCCTAGTGAATCACACCTTGAGTCGCTCATGAAGCGTATCTCGACGGCTGAGCGCTTGTAGTGCTGTTATAAGGTCAAAGGCCGTATCTCGAATGTTAAGGAGGGCCTGGGGTCTGCAACCCGCAATGCTGAATGTTGAGGAAAGGTCGGGGAATCTATCAATCTATTAAAACAATCTACTGCTGTATTGCCGTAATCATGTAAGTCCTCCATTCACTGCTTTAGATTGCGGTTTGGTTCGTGTCTCCTGTTGCTTTGTGCCATGTTGGTTTATTACATCAATACAGCATTCTGTACGCGAACGAATCTGCAAACTACAATACAAAAGTAGATACACCATCTCACAATCTCTAAGTCAAAGGACTAGCTAGTGGCCGGCTGGTCCTGCGAAGAAACCCTGTTGGAGTCCCCACGCTTTTTCCAACATCGCCGGCCGGTTCACGGACTGCTTGAACTTTCTTCTATGGTTCTGCCACGAATGGCTAAAGCACAGACGTTCAGAGAACGGCGCCTGGCTCGGCTCCAAATCCCAAGGAGGGAGGTGAGAGCCTAGGACTAAGCCTTGTAGGGGAGGGACTCCGAGGTGGGTGAGCCAACTGCGTGTGGCAAAAGTTTGAATGTGTGAGATCACAGTGGTGGTGAGCCTGCTGATAAGGCAGGAGAGCGTAGACGAAAACGTCGGGTGAGCAAGCTTAAAGTACCGAGTTCAAGTAACCCATTGACCTTCGCTGGCTGTGCACCCCCTTCCCTAACCAGGATTCGGCATGGGCCCCGAGAGAGTATCGTGGGAGATTTTTTAGCTGTCAAAGAAAATACGTTAACATTGAAAAATTACCGTTCTTAACTGCTAAACCTTATTATGTAAATTCTGTGAGAGAATTAATGTGCATGAAGTAATTATCTTTCGCCTTTTTCATCCGTTTCGCTAAACTCACTTCCAACTGCACTTGAAGCTAACCCATCTTTCAACAACGCAAGCACCAGAATCAGGGGCCGTATACCGAGTGTTGGAGAGGGGATGGGAATGGGAAAAGGTTGGGTATGATCGTCGCAGGCCTCCAGGGCAGCGGCTGCTCTTCGATTTTGCAGCTTTGTTGTTCGTTTATCGCGGTTATTTGTGCATAAACTGATAAAGAAAGGTATTTATGAGCGAATATACACTCAAGAACATTAAAAGGATGGACACAAAGTCTGAATTCCATTAGTTTCCTACCTAGTACTTCACCTCAACACGGGTCTGCTTACCATCACACTATATCAATTTAACACGTTGGTGACCAAGCGGATTTGAGGGTGTCTGCCGTGTGGGACCACGGAAAACCAGCATGTATTTTTCTTGCAAAAGTTTTCAACATAGCAAATTTAATGCGCTGATCACGAATATGGCATTGATCTGGAGCGTTCGCGCCATTTGGCACCAGTTTGCCTCCTAATTGGCGCTATCTTGGCGCCACGATATTTCCCTTGTCAAATTCGGCAAACACCTATATGTGATAGTTATCCCCTCCGCTGAACACGAATAAGACCCTGGTCACGGACTCGAAATTTGCGGCGCCGAAATGGCTTCAACTGGCGCAAATTTGGCGGCGAAAGTCTGCAACTTGAGAGGCATCGGTTGTACGGGGGATTCATTAACCCGAATGAAGACGACGTTTTGAACATGTAAGCAAAAGCGACGAATTAAAGCCGATCTGCGGACCGAGGATGATGTTCTGCGAGATCAAACCTCCTTCGATAAAGAATATGGACTTCATAATGATGCTGCTGAGACAGCAGATGTTGTCGAGGCTGCTATAGCATGCTTTCCGACGAACATGGTAGTTACTATATTAGATCACATATAGAAAAGTGGGAACTCGATGTAGTACTTGTGGGGGCTTCTTCTGTATTGAATACTTCCAAACGCGCCACAAGTTGTGGGAGAAATCTCAACTGCTACTTGCGTTATATTATGTTCAGTGTTATTTTTTTAGAAGTGATCAGAAGAAAGAAAAAATATAAGCGTTTTAATAAGTTGCGGTGTCGCCCGACATCGGGTGCCATTGTCGCCAATGTGTTAATGCCATTTTCTTAGTGACCGCATTTTTGGAAATGACGAAATTCCGGCTACTGCGCGAGGTGCCAAGAAGGTTGTGTCACAGAACATGCAGAAATATAGGACAAGTTCTGTCTACGCCTTGTTGCCGCGTGGCAGGCCTCCTGTCGGTTACCCGTCGTTTTTTACTGATTCGAGGGTTTGGAGCATCGTACACATATCGGTAATGGCCGCGAGGTACCCCGGTAGCTTCGAACGCAGTTGCACTCACGTATTGGCCGCACCGTTGTGGAGCACTCATCTGAGTAGTGCATTATGTACTCATTGTGAAATCAGCTCACTCCTATGTGCATGGTTTGGCCTCACTTGTCAGCTGTTCAATATGCAGTTCTCTGTGAAGTTTCATCGAGCTTGTACCGCTTTCTGTTGAACCATTGGCACTATTGCTCTATTACAACCTCAGGGGAGGGGGGGGGGAGGGTGAGATGGGTCAAAAAATAATTTTCGCTGTAACTTCCCCGATGGGAGTAATCGAGGGCCCTGATCACGAACATTGCACTCGTTTTTGACATTCGTTTTGTTCAACGTATTTTCTGCTTTTCTGAGCTCCCTCACTTATATTGTATATTTACCCTCCTCTAAGCTTAGTCGCTTAGAGGAGGGTAAACCACGCACTCTAAGGCAAAATTCGAAGAGTGTGAGATCACGGGTCAGCGGCTCACTCATTCTGTAGCCATTCACCATTCAAAGGCCTAGTCCTGATTGCGATCCAATGGCCGGACGCATAGTCGGTCGGACGACAGCAACGACCGCAAGTGTCGCATAAACCGCGGTCGCAAATGGAAGGCGACGCGGTCACCCAATGCTAACCCAGACAACACGTGACTGCGCGTGATCGTATTTCGAAAGTCCCACTGTAGTGTGGAATAGTAGCTGCGTATTGATCTGCGACACTTGCAGTCGTTGCTGTCGTCCGACCGACTATGCGTCCGGCCACATGATGTAATCGTGCGACCGGTCGCCTCGCTTCACTTCGTCTCGCTTC